CTCCGATTACCACTGTTCTGGTGATTATTTTCTCACCCTGGTATGGAAGGACATCCCCTCAAAGGAATCTCTGTTTATTGCTTACTGTATGTAAGAAGAAAAAAAAAAAAAAAAGGTCAAATGGCCTTTTCTACAACTATAATCCTCAGATGATTTCAGCTTGAAATAATATATCAATTGAACATATTTGGAGATTGTACATCCTTAACTCAATTAGCTTCATATGTTATATTGGGTGGTCAGAAAAGTCATGACACATTTTTTGCAAAGAAAAACATACCAAGACTTTCCTGACAACCTAACATTATGAATCATGACCATTCAATTTCCAGATACAAATGAATCTAGGAAAACACCCTGATTTTATGTTTTCATTTTTGGAATGTAAGTACAGTAACTTCCTAAACTCCTTGCTTAGAACAGTAAAAGTTAAGGACCAGCAAATGGTGTAATGGTTACATCTCTGGACTCCCACAGAGTCTACCATAGCTCCAGTATTGGACCCAGTGGCTTAAAACTCACATCAGGCATCTGTGCGTGTGTGTGTGTGTGTGTGTGTACAAAATCCTGAGAGGAGAATGGAGGAGAAGGGACTGTGGTGTGGCCGTTCGCCCGGGGGTGATTTCTCACCTTCTGTCTTTCTGTTTCTTTCTCTCCAGCAAGTGCACGCACACTATAGCAAAAATCTCTCTCTAAAAAAAAAAAAAAAGAACAGTAAAAGCTAAGATGACGTGAGCAGAAATGGGAAAATCTACAGTCAATCTGTGTTTTGAAAAGGGCCAAAGAACACTGGGTGAGACCCTAGGCATTGTTCGTTTGTGGCTAAGAAGGGTAAGTCACAGATGAAGCCGCTCTAGAAGCCAACATGTTCTGAAAAGTTAGTGTGTTCACGCTCTGTGGGCCTTTGGCTAACAATAATGTGATAATAATAAAATCCCTTCCTCTGTTTTACCAGGAGAAAAATCTTATGATGCAAAAAATCAAAATCTCCTTCACTCCCTATACTGACAGAGATTTGACTCTAGCAGAAATCAATAGATGAACTTACTAGGAAACACTTCTGGTTGTTAGCTTTCAGGAGAGAAAGTGTCACCTGATACGTCAGATAAACCAAACAATTCTATAAGGAAAGTGATGCCTTTTTCAAAATCTTAGTGAGGCTACCCAGGTAATTGCTGTTTTCCAAGCTTTACAATTCCACCCGAGGATGGCAAGAAGAAAGACACCAGAAAGTTGTCCAAGAAAGGCAGAGACCGGGACCAGAGTTAGCATAATGGCTATGTTGCTGAACTCCCATGTAGCTGACCACAGTTCGAGTCCCGGATCCGGTGGCTTAAACTCACACTGGGCGTGTGTGCATGTGTGCCCAAGATCCTGAGAGGAGAGTGGAGGAGAAGGGATTGCAGCATGGCCATCCCCCCTGGGGGGTGATTTCTCACTTTCTATCTCTCTGTCTCTCTCTCTATTTCTGGTGAGTGCAAACACCCTATAGCAAAAACCTCTCCACAAAAGAAAAGAAAAGAAAAGAAAAGAAAAGAAAAGAAAAGAAAAGAAAAGAAAAGAAAAGAAAAGAAAAAAGAAAAGGAAAGAAAAAGGAAAAGAAAGGCAGAGACCTGGTGAACAAATCTGAGGGCAAGGCCAAGAAGAGTAAGTGTCCAAAGGCCAACATCAGGACAAGCGCAGTAACCTAGTCAAGTCTGACTGAGCTTCACATGACAGACTCTATAAAAAGGTTCCCAACTTTTAAGCTTCTAACCACAGCTGTGGTCTCTGAGAGGCTGAAGAACTGCAGTTCCTAGGCCAGGGGAGCACCTCAGGAACTCCTTAGTAAAGGATTTGAGAAACTGGTTTCAAAGCACAGAGTTCAAGTAATTTATACCAGAAATACCAAGGATGAAGACGCACCCAGCTGCTGATGAAGATGCATGAACAGGTATAACCAACTGTACTTTTGCATATGTTTATTAAATTTAAAAAAAAAGAAAAAGAAAGAAAAGAAAGTGATAGTCTGCAGAAAACAGAATTGTAAAACTAATTCTGGGGCCAGCCAGTGATGTGGTGATTAAGGTGGCTGGATCCCACATGCTCAACTTTGTGGTTTGAGTTCCAGATCCAGCAGCTTGAAGAACACAGCAGGCAAATGTGCATGTGTGCCCAAAATCCAGAGAGGAGACTGGAGGAGAAGGGACTACAGCATGGCCACCCCACTATAGGTTGACTTCATACTTTCCTTCTCTCTCTCTCTGTCTGCCTCTCTCCAATGAACTCATGCTATATAGCAAAACTAAAATTAATTAATTAAATTAATGACATAAAAATAAGTTGGAAAGAGGGGAAAAGGGATTTGCAAAGTCACATTACAGGATTTAAAATTTGTCCATTATCTTCTGCGACCTCCCCATCAACCAAAGAAGACAGTACTTGCCATGCATTGGTAATGTCTAGTAGACTGACCGATTCATTTGCCAGGTTTTGTCACTCTATAAACTTTGAGAGTTCAATTATACTATTAACAAATTGTTTTAAAATACCACTAACCTGTATTAAAAATTAAAAAAAAAGTTTTAATACCACCTGCCAGTATAACAATCAATTTAACAGCTGACTTTAAAATGAGCTTATCATTTGGAAGTCATTCTAGCTAAATTTTTGCTTATTTTCATAAAAGTGCTGTAAGTTATGAACATGATTTTTACCTTGTAAATAAAAAAATAAGCTTAGAATGATCCGGTGATTTGACTAAGGCCATACAACCAGTAAGTGGTGATGTTGGGTTTAAAATCATGTTATAGTCCCAAAGCCTATCTCTTCCCACAAATTCACCTTTCTATTCTCATAGTCTTCGCACCTCCTCAGTTTGGTTGGAACTTAACTATCCTATCTTATCCTTGCTTGTTCCGATTTCCACACCCTCCATGCCACCAAACGGGTCTGTTCTCTCCAATGTTTTCTATTTATTTTCCCTTGTTCATCTTTACATACACCAGTCCTCACACTAAGACTGCTTCTTGTCCTCAACTCTATAAAAAGTCAATGTATCTTTCAAATTTCTACAAGATTCCATCTCCCTCCATTAAACTGCCCAGACCAGCCTATTCCCTTCCCCAAATCTCCACAGCAATTTCTCCCTTTCCTGTCCTCCACATTATCTCTTCATTCATTCCTTCAATAGGTTATATATTTATGTCAGGGACTGGAAACACAAAAATGTCTAGATATGAAATCTTAGATTATGAAGATAAAACAAGAGTACATATATCCACATATGTATGTATTAATATACACATGTGTATAGGTACATATAGGTAACAGCTGACATTACTGAGCACTTACTATGTGCCAGACATTATTCTAGGCCACTTACGTCTTCTAATTAATTTCATCTTCATGGCAGCTCTCTAGAGTAAATACCTTTTTACTTACAAGCATACTGATACACAGAGAAGTTAAACAAATTTCCCCAGGTCACACAGCTGGAAAGTTGCAAACTGGCTTCAGGGCCTGTGCTTTGAAATCCACTATTCCATATAGGCTTAGATGTAGTATAGAGAAGATAAGTCTGTCTCACAGAGATCCTCGTAGAAGAGGTGATTTTTATAAATAGCATCTTAAATAAAAAGAAGGTTATTCATTTATTTGTTTGCTTTAGAGAGAGATTTTTGCTATAGGGTGTGTATACTTGCCAGAGAGATGAAGAGACAGAAAGCGAGAAATCACCCCAGGGGGGGCAATGGCTATACCACAATCCCTTCTCCTCTATTCTTCTCTAGGGATCTTGGGCACACATGCACATGTGCCCAGGCATCAATGTGAAGCCACTGGGTCCAGGACTTGAATCGCAGTCTACTACATGGGAGTCCAACAATGTAATCATTATACCAACTGCTGATTCCGAGGAGGTCATTAAGGGGTCAAGAGAAAAGGGGTGCAATGGATGTTTTAGTTGACTCCCCAGCATCCAGTCTAGTATCTCTCAGTAGCTATGAGGTTTAGAAAGGTTTGGAAAAGATGCGGGTCACAGGTGGCCCATGATCAACCCAAGGCTCACCAGGTCAGTCAGAATTATCATATGACCCAGTAATTGCAGTTATGGGTATATGCCCCAGAAAACAGAGGCAGGGGCTTATAACGGTATTTTCAGATACGTGTTTATAGCAGTATTATATAGAATAGCCAAGAGGTGGAAGCAATTCAAGCACTCATTAACAGATAAATGGGTAAATGAATTGTGGTATATATGTACAAGGAAATACTATTCAACCTTAAACAAGAAGCAATTTGTTTTGTTTTTTAAGAGAGAGATTTTTTTTTCTTTTTGGCTATAGATTTTTTTTTTCTCTGTGCACTCACCAGAGAGACAGAAAGCAAGAAATCACCCTCCAGGTGGGATGACCATGTCACAATCCCTTCTCCTCTATTTTCCTCTAGGGATTTTGGGCACGCTCACACATGCACCTAGAGTGTTTTAAGCCACCAGGACCAGGATTCAAACCATTGTTGACTACTTGGAAGTCCAGTGACATAACCATTATGCCATCTGCTAGTCCCATAGGAAGTAAACTCTGACACACGCTATGACATGGATAAATCTTGAGGACCTTATCTTAAGTGAAATGTATCAATCACAAAAGGACAAATACCATGAGTCCACTTACATGAGATATCAAGAGTAATTAAATTCATAGAAACAGAGAGTAGAATAGTGGTTGTCATGGGCTGTAAGGGGTTGGGAGTTACTGCTTAATGAGCATAGAATTTTATTTTTTGCAAGATGAAAATATATTCTGGAGATGGATGGTGGTAATGGTTGCATAGCAATGAGAGTGCTACTTAATGCTATTCAAGTATACATTTAAAATGATTAAGACAATAAATTTTATAAGTATTTCACAGTTTTAAAAATGTTGAAAGGTAATCAATAGAAAATGCTTTCACAGTGTAGGTTACACAGAAAGTGCTTCAAAAACAGTAAGCCTTATATTTGCCATTACTTCACTTACTTTTCTTGAATGGAGGCTCAAGGTGGTCTCATTATGTCAAGAGTTCCTTTCTGGGAACAGCATGTAGTAGAATAAAGCCAGAATTTTCAGAAATGCCTGAGAAGTTTTTCAGCCCCATGTCCTGAAGGAAAAAAAAAATCATAATTCTTTGCCAACTCTTAGAGTAGCTATTTCTAAAATCAAGGGTTTGGACAATTCAATTAGACCATCCGTAAGTCCTTTCACTTTTCAGAGTTTTCTGACACACTTCAATAGTTCGTAAATTGTATTCTGCAGTTCTAGTTCCTGCAGACAAAGAGGCATGCGGAGTGGTTGAGCTCTGGATGCTTCAACGTGTGCGTGTGCACACACACACACACACACACACACACACGCTATTTCAAGCAGAGATGCTCCATTTATTTTTGTGATATATGCTGCCATTGCAGTGAATGTTTACTTTCTAAAAACATTCTTCTAATAAAAAAGAGAAAGCTATATTTCTCAAGAAACCAAGTGAATTTTTCAGATGAATAAAGTTTATCCCCTTCACTTCACAAAACTCATTTTACATTTTAACGATGTGTGATTAAAATCCTACTTAAACTGACCTTTGTCCCAGTCATTCTAAAATAGGATTCCTTGAACATAACTTTGCCAAAAATTAATTAACACATGGTAAACTCTACACATATTTATAACTACTGGTTTCTATTCTATTAAGAAAAATACAATACTTTGAGACCAAAATAAAACTGATAACTAAAAGGTAACTTGGTGCCTCCAACCAACTCAGTTCTTATTTTTTCTTGTATTGGTACACCCTGAATCTTCATTTGCCATCCAGTGACATTTGCCCAACTTTGCATAGGCTGTGACCTCTCTTTAGGACACCTGCTCTTCTCTGTCAGTCTATCCTTCATTTGACTGAATTCTTGTCATTGTTAAAAACTGAGCTTGGAAGTTGGCCCCACAGCCTAGTGGTTAAGGGAGACAGGTCCCACATGGCAACCACAGTTCAAATCCTAACCCCAGTGGCTTGAAAATCACACTAGTTATCTGTGTATGTGTGCTTAAAATCCCGATAGGACAGAAAAATGGAGACAAAAAGAACTGAGGCATGACCGCGCCCCATTGTAGGGGTGCTTTCTCCCCCTCCCGCCCCCTGGAAGCGTGTATGCCCACTGCCAATTAGAAATTTAAAAACTCAGCTTCCCTGTTACCACTTAAAGGAAGCCACTTAACCTGGGTAAAGTGCTTCTCCTCTCCACTCCCAAACATGTTACCCACATTATACCAGTATACCACAGCACGTAACATCTTTTACTGTCGTCATCTACTTGTTTGGGATTTCTTTTCTTTTCTTTTCTTTTGAGAGGTTTGTTTGTTTGTTATGGGGTGCATGCGCTCATTAGAGAGATAGACAGAAAGCAAGAAATCATTCCCCCAGGAGGCATGACCATACCACCATCCTTTCTCCTCCATTCTCTTCTTGGGATTTTGAGAATGCATGCACACACGCCCAGCATAAGTTTCAAGCCAGCATGTCCAGGTCTCAAACCGTGGTCAGTTCTGTGGGAATCCAGCAACATAACCATTAGCCCATCTGCTGGTCCTGTCATTATCTGTTAGTCTTCTCCTTAGCAAGGTATATGTCCCTCAAGTCCAGGTCTAACTGCCAGCATTGCTTGACTGCATAGGTGAATTTTCTCTGTTTCATCTCTTAATGATATTAGATAATCAAATATTAACTCCTATTACTAAGATTATTTAGGACACAGAAAAATATAAATAGAAACTTAGCTAGAGTCTAAATAAACAGCTGTGAAACTTTCAATAAAAATTTTATGAAAGCAATTACATATATCATATATATGTATGAATTATATGCACATATGTGGAAATGCATCAGAAGAATAGTTAACAGTATTCAAACCTCGTTGGGATGGTTTACTTGTTTTTTAATTGACAAATAAAAACTATATATTTAGGGCATACAATATGATATTTTAACATATGTATACATTGTAGAATGGCTAAATCAAGCTCATTAACTAACACATTACCACACATATTTATTTTTTGAAGTGAGAACACTTCATATCTACTCTTGGCAAATTTTAAGTATTCTATATAATGTTCTTAACTATGGCCACTATATATACAATAGATTCCTGGAACTAATTCCTCATATCTAGCTGCAATTTTGTATCTTTTGACCACCATCTTCCAAAGCCCCTCTTCTCATCAGCCCCTGGTAATCACCATTCTAATACACATTTCCATGAGTTCAACATTTTTAGATTCCACATGGTCTTGCATGTGTCAGTTATTTGTCTGTGTACAGGTTGTTTGTTTTTGTTTTTACCTTGTCTGTAGAGTACATGTACTCACCAGAGAGGGAGAGAGAGACAGAAGAGAGAAACAGAAAGACAGAGGAAGAAAGTACCCTCACAATGGGCATGGTCATGCTACAATCCCTTTCCCCCCCCATTTCCTTATCCTATTGGGATTTTAGATGCACACACTCACTGCATATTTCTCAAGCCACCAGGTCCAGTATGTGAACAGTGTAAGTGGATCTGGCTCCCTTAACCACCAGGCCACGGAGCTGGCCCTCAGATCATGAACTTAAAAGAACTATAATTGGGATCAGCAGATGGCATAGTGGTTACATCACTGGAATTCCACAGAGTCGACTACAGTTCAAGTCCCAGACCCAGTGGCTTAAAACTTATGCCAGCTTGTATGCATGTTTGCCCAAAATCCCAAGAGGAGAATGGAGGAGAAGGGACTGCAGTGTGGCCATACCTCCTGGAGAGGTGATTTCTTGCTTTCTGTCTCTCTGTCTCTCTGGCACACACATGTGCCCTATAGCAAAAATCCCTCTCTAAAGAAATTTTTAAAAAAAGAACTATAATTAGGGGCCAGCATGTGCCATAGCAGTTATATTGCTGGACTCCCACCTAGCCAACTGCAGTTCGAATCTTGGACCTGGTGTCTTGAAAATCACACTGGGCACGTGTGCGTGTATGCCCAAGATTCCGGAAGGAGAATGGAGGAAGGAATTGTGGAATAGATTTTCCCCCGGGGGGGGATAGGGGGGTGGTGTGATTTCTCACTTTCCCTCTCACTCTGTCTCTCTCTCTCTCTGGAAACTGCACACACCCTAAGGCAAACAACTGTTTAAAAAAGGCACAAAACTATAATTAATATGCTAAGAGTTCAAATGCAAATAACAAAAAAGTAGATAACTACAAAACCAGATGGGCAATATAAGCTGAGAGACAGTAATTCTAAGACAGAGATAAAAGAAATGCCATAGATCAAAAACACTATAACAGAAATGAGAAAGAGCTCCGCTGTGCTCATTAGTACACTGGACAGAGCTGAGGAAAGACTCTCTGAGTTTAAGGACGTGTCAAGAGAAACTTCCAAAACCAAAAAGCAAAGAAAAAAAAAAAATGCCGTCTCTCTCTTTCTCTGGCAAGAGCAACTGCCTTATAACAAATATCTCTCTAAAAAGAGAAATATATACATACATACACACACACACACACACACTTCTTATAGCATACATTTGTTAAGATTTTTGCCATAGGGCACCTGTAACCATCCCTTCTCCTTCATTCTCCTCTGGGGATCCTGGGCAGACAAGCACATGCACCTGGTGTGATTTTCAAGCTGCCAGATTCAGTTTTTGAACTGTGGTCAATCATATGAGACTCCAGCACCTTAACCACTCACCACCTGCTGACCCCTAGAAATAAATACATTTTTTGAGAGATTTTTGCTATAGGGCACACGTGCTCACCAGAGAGACAGAGAGACAGAAAATGAGAAATGAGTCCAGCATCTTAACCACCATGCCACATGCTGGCCCCAAAATGGGCCAGTTTTAGTCAACATGATAAGGAAATCCTTTCTGTTTTTGGCCTTTTTTAAAGAATTATTTATTCATTTTTATTTATTCATTTTTTTTTTATTTGACCAGAGAGAGAGAGAGAAAGTGAGAAAGCAAGTCACTAGGTCCAGGACCCAAACCATGGTCGGCCATGTAGGAGTATCCAGCCCCTTAACCACCAGTCCACCCACCGGTCCCGGAAGCCCTCTCTGTTTTAACGCATATGAGGAAAATAACCTGAAACAACCTGATGTTAACCAACCCGCTTGTTGCAGTATGCTGCTTTCTTGTTCCTGCCTAAGCCACTTTACAAAACCAACTATTCAGGACCAGCAGTTAGTATAATGGCTATGTTGCTGGACTTTCATGTAGTTGACCACGGTTCTGAGCCCTATAACAAAAACCTCTCTAAAAAAAATTTAAAAAAAAAAAATACATATATATTCTGCCATGTCCAGCTCAGCACTTTGCTATTTCAGAAATAGGGCTCTATTTATAAATATCTAATAAAAGCCAATTAGTTCCCTAAACTCAACTCGTTGAAATGTTTTTTAATGGTAGGTTTGTTGACTGTACAATGTACCATTACAATGTGAGATGCTGATAGTGAGGGAGACTGTGCATGTGTGGGGCGGGGGTAGACAGAAACTCTCTGAAATTTCCACTCAATTTGTGTGTAAACCTAAAACCGTTCTAAAATATGTCTATGTAAGTGAGGGGAAAAAAAGCTTTTTGCTTTCTTTTTTTAATTGTCAGAGGTCATGTGTAATCACTAGAGTGAAATAGACAAGGCAGCCCCAATGAAGCGCGGTCACACTGCAATACTTTTTCTCCCAGTTTTTCAGCCCATCAAGATTTGGGGCACATATACACAACAACAAACATTCTTTTTCTTTTGGAGAGATTGTTGCTACAGAGCATGTGTGCTTGCCAGAAAGACAGAGAGAGACAGAGACAGAAAACAAGAAATCACCCCCCGGGGGGATGGCCACACCACAATCCCTTCTCCTCCATTCTCCTCTCAGGATCTTGGGCACGCATGCACACACGCCTGGCATGAGTTTTAGCCACTGGGTGTCAGACTTGAATCGTGGTCAACCACATGGGAGTCCAGCGACATAGCCATTATGCCAACTGCTGGTCCAACAAGGTATGTTTTCCAAGCCACCAGAACTAGGACTCAAACCATGGTCTGCTATGAGGAATTCAACTTCCAGGACACAGTGCTCAACCACTGC